GTTAAACCCAGGTTTAAAGCCTTGCAGGGCAGCCTAAAGCCCACTGCCAACATTAAGACAGAAAAAAGAAATAAATAAGTAAAAAACCAGTCAGTTCAGGTGTTTTATAAAATATGTGAATCAGGAAACTGTCTATGAACCAAACTGAACGATTGTTCTTCTCTACATAAAAAAAAAACATTTTAGATTTTAAGATGGAAAATGTTACATTTTTTATTTTATATTTTTGTTATTTAAAAAATCAATGTATAACATGGATGCATAAACACCTCATTTTATGTCAGTGTTAAATTCTGTTTAAAGTAACAGATTATATTTAAAAATGTCTCCGGACCTTTACAGGTTGATGATTTTCTTTATTCGGACCCCGCTGATTTTTAATTGTTTACCCCTGGAGTAGACCTTTAGTGTTATAGCCAAAATAATTTCACATGCGACTAATTTGAGAGATGTTACAATAACTAATTTCCCAGCTTTAGTGTTCAACTCATCCATTTTTATTATGTTTTGCATCCATTTGCAGTTGATCCTGTAAGCCTCTTAGGTGCTGAACCGACACAAAGCAAACCCTGCTTTTTCTCTTCGGCATGTCCCGCTATCATCCCTATCATCTTACGGGTGCTGTGTAAAAATCAATATGTGTCCAAACCAAAATGTCTGCATGACGGCGCTCATTGTTCCTGCCCGTCACTCAGTTTCACTACTGCTGAACATCTTTGCTCCAACGGTGGATATTTTTGCTGTTAACTGAGCAAACATTTGCAGGTGACTCCTGGATTCATTCTAATATCTGGATGGCTGGTTTTCACATGATGTCTGCTTTTTGGATGGCATTGCTTTTGTCAGGTAAGACTCATTAAGAGAGAATAGATAGACTACAGCATGTAAAGAGAGGTTATACAGGTTATATTAAAGATGAGAGTTTCTAGAAATTTTAAATAATTTATTTTTTTTAATCTTATTCACACTATGTAATGTAAATAGACAGGGATCCTATAAATAATAGGCTATAAGTACAAATATTTGAGCTGTTTGTATTTTGCCTATTAAAATGAGCTCTGTATGTTATTAAGGTTAGATTAGATTTTTTGCAGTAAAATGAGAGGGAGATTAATATTTCAAACAAAGCTTTAAAAATATTTTAGCTGCAATCTAAAGTAGTCAACTTATTTATTTTAGTTTGGCTAAGACTAAAGAAAAAAATTTATAATTAGGCTTGGCCTTTTAATAGTTGGCTTTTGTTTTTTTAAGCAATCTCATCTAGACTGGGATGTAGACCACCTTAACAACTCTTTAAAACAAAAACAATAAAAATGCAGTGTCATTGACCAGATTTACAAATATAATAAATGCACTTTTTTTTTTTTTTAGCTATCTGGCTGCTTATTTTTTGGTATTTTCCTATTCTTTTACCTTTTAGTTCATCTGGCTGAAGGTGTGCCGCAAAAGCCAAAGAGATCCACCTTAAACCAGCTGACCAGGACCCTCCTGAGGAAATACGACTGTGGAGTTCGACCTGTTCACAACTGGACTAGCTCAATAACGGTCTACATAGACCTCATACTGCAGTCTGTCCTCGATGTGGTATGTCAACTTCGACAGGTTCAATTTAGATCGTTAAAGAATTTAGTTCTTATAGTGGCTAAAAGGTAGTAATAAAACTTATCATGCCAGACGTTTTATTTACTAATGAAAAAGTTTATTTTTTAGACATCCCCAACATAAAACAGCAGTAATTACATGGTTCTTCACAAGAAATATTTTTTTAAACAAAATCAAGAAAAAGAAATTTGTGAGCTATTTCTAAATCTATAAAATATATGAAAAATTGCAACCTCTAGAGGCAACTGTTGGATTTGGTTAACTGCCCTTCAATAGACTGGCAACCCTTCAGGATATACAGGTTCTGGAAAGTATGCTGTTAGTTTTAGAAAGTTTTAAGTTTATCTGGAAACTAACATCTTTTAGTTTAAAAAAACAAACAATAAGGTTCAAAATAACCTTTAAGTGACCTCTTTAATGAAGTTAAAATAACTTTATGTACAAGTAACTTGTGCATATGAGTTAAATAAAGTAACTCGGTTTAACACTTACCTGTAAGTTCTGTAAGTTCTTACTATATTTCACTTCTTTTTTCTTATAAAATAAGAGAAAAAAAAGTAACAAAGTTACCTTAAAGTTTTAACCTTGGGGCTTTAGAAATTAAAAAGGGAAAGAAAATACAGATTAAGTTAAATAACGCAACATAAAGTTAAGTAACGAGTGTCTGAAGTAACACGGTAAGTTCCAGAAGTAATCAGTTATTTCTAGGAAAATGACCTGTATATTCTATGTAGGTCACCGGATAATTCCTGGAAAGTAACTTTGAGGTCCTGTGAGTAACATCCAATTTCAGTAACAAAATCATAAAGTTACTAAAAGTGGTCTGTGAGTCCTGAAAAAATTTGTGTCCTACAAAATAAAGTTAAATGAACATAACCTCTAAGTTCCAAATAATAACCCACCTATAACTTCTGCAAAGTAACACATAAACTCAAGGAAGTAATGAAATATTATTCATATTTTCCTTAAGTAACCATTAAAAATAAAGTTCCAATTGATGTTGGTTTTGTTATAGTGGTTTGGCTGATCTATAAAGGCTAACAGAAAGTACAGAAGTAACTTATTCAAGAATCATAATGGAAGTTTGTGAAAGCAACATCTTACTGCAGTAACAATTACATGAAATATTTGGGAAAGTAACCTATACATTTCCAAAAGTGGCCTTAAAGTTTAGCAAAAGTGACTTCATTTCCAGAAGATAACCTGTGAGTTCAAGAAGACCCGCATAGACTTCCAGGAAAAAAAATCTAGTTTAAAAACAGTCACAAGTATGAGTAATTTCTTCCTGTTAAAAGGGAATCTTTCCTCTCCACTGTCGCTACAAGCATGCTTGGTGCAAGGAATCGCTTTCGAGTCAATGAGTCGATGCAATCAACTGATTTTCCTTAGATAGAAAACCTTAACTCAATTTGACTGGATGATCTGGTTGAATTGTCTCTGCAAAGTGCCTTGAGATGGTATGTGTTGCGAATTGTGTCCTATAGAAATAAACTGAATTGAATTAATTTATTGGGTTTAGAAAAAGCAACAGTAAAAGTAAACATAAAGTTCTCTATAAAAGCATCCAAGTTCTATTTGAACCAGACTAACTATTTCAGAATCAGAAATACTTTAATAATCCCAGAGGGAAATTACTTTTGTTACACGCTCCAGTTACAGTTTTATATAATATATACACACATCCAACTATACAATATAATAAAGATAAAAAATAAGAATAAAAAGAGATAAAATATATACACATATAGCTCTTGTGTATATATATCTGTACGTATATCTATGCATATGTAAAAACTAAATCCAAATAAAGTGAAAATCCACAAAGTAAATTCACAAAGTAATCAGCTGAATCTCTATCACTAGTTTTAATGTTCTCTAACAATAACCTGAAAGTCATTTAAATCTGGCCTCCAATCATGGAAACCACCTTTAATCTTCAGAAAAGAACTTTGGCAACAATTATCAATAAAGTTAATCTGCTAGTTCAATTTGAGTTCTTTAAAATAGTAAAAAATAATAATAAGCTGATCTTATCCAAATCAGTTTTAGAGCCTACCAGTCGCTCTATTTGTTAAATTACTGTTTAAATGTGTCCATCTTTAAATGAGAGTTCCTTCTGTTTTCCAGGATGGAAAGACTCAAAGCATTACTGCAAGTATTTGGTACAGACAGGTGAGTGCGATCGCAATTTTTTTGGTTTTTGTTTGTATTTTTAATAGATTCAGGACAAGAAATATTTTCCATTATTTAGATTAAAAAAATCTAACCTCTGCTTTTTTTCAGATCTGGAGGGATGAGTTCCTAGTTTGGGACCCAGAGGACTTTGATGGGATCACTGAGCTTTCACTCTCCTCTGATGCTATCTGGGTACCTGATATCATCGTCACTGAATTGTAAGATAAAACTCAAAATCTCCCACCTCAATCGATCACAATATTATATTTCTGTCCTAATATGGTTTAATGATACAACCAGATGACTGATTTGTTTCAAAGAATTGTAATTGGTACCAATGTTCAGAATTTAAGACACATTCATTTGAAATATTAAATTAATGAACTACATGCAACAATGCTTAACATTTAGAAAACAGTTTAAAGGCATAAAATATGATTTTAAAATCGAGTTTTAGCTGCAGCAAAAACAGTGCAAAGAAACGTTTTATGTTGAAAATGTGGACTTTTAAGATCTTTCTGTTTTGAAGTGAAGGAAAATATATGTACGGATATTGACTAGAAGAGGACTGACTAAAAGCAGTTTGCATGAAGCTCTTGCAGGAAAAATAAACTGCTGCAGGTGCTGTATATTGCAAATAGAGGCTAATGCTGAACTAAAATAAAGTGGAAATATATGAACAGTTAATCAGCCAAATTCCTCTGTTTCATGCAATTTTGGCAGTGTGGAAGAGGGAAAGTCTCCTCCTATCCCTTATGTTTACGTCAACTCTTCTGGCTGTGTGAAGAACTACCGGCCCATCCAGGCGGTGCTGGCATGCAGCCTTGAAATGTATGCCTTTCCCTTTGACAAGCAGAACTGCAGCCTCACCTTTCGCAGCTGGCTTCACTCAGGTTGGCCTCTAATTTCTGATGGGGTTTTGTGCTTGTTCATGTAGTTAATGGGCTGTGATGGGACTGACTATCTGGGAAATCAATGTATTCCAACCGTGGACTTTGAGAGTTACATAGTCAAACAACATGATTGTAATGAACACATCTGTGTTTATAAAGCAGTGAAGCAATCAGTAGCAGAACAAGAATCCATGATTGGATATAAAGCACCTTGCAAAAGGGAAATTACATCTGGACCGTCTCCACCTTTTATCCCACCACCAACATTACTGTATTTTATTAGAACGTTTTTGTCATAGATCAACACAAATTAGAAAAAAAAAAACAGCAGTTCATAGTTTTAGCACTTAGAATCTGAAAGATGTGGAATGCATTTATTTTTTTATTTTTTTCCTTGGAATTTGATGATAATTGTACGGAAGAGGATTAGGACCACTGAAAAAAAAAAGTTAACTGATTTTTAAATTTTATTTCAGTTTAACATGGGAAAAAAGTCAGAATTCTGAATTTTTCTCAGAATTCTGACTTTAATCTCAGAATTCTGACTTTTTTCTCAGAATTCTGACTTTTTTCTCAGAATTCTGACTTTAATCT